AACGCAAACGCTAATAAACGCAGTTAGCCGCGTTTACACGCATTTGGTGTTTGAAACGCTGCTAACATCTACTCCTGAACGCAAGTTTGCTGCGTTCAAAAAAAACGACTGTAAACTCAACTGCCTGTAAATGACTATGTGTACATGGGCACATAGAAAAACATTAAGGAGAGTTCAGGGGCTGCTGAAAAAAATGCAGAAAAGCTCCTGAACGTGAGTTTATCAGCTGCAGTGTACATAAGCCCTAATACAGGGATCAGTGATAATATTGTACACTGTACTAATGACACTGGCTGGGAAGGGGTTAACATCAAGGGGAATTTAAGGTATTAACTGTGTGCCTAACACATGTAAAGTGTTTAATGTGTGATGCTTTTACTCACAGATCAGGCTGCTTTTTCTCCATGAACTCCGAGTTGATTTCAGGGAGAAGAAACAGCCAGATCGATGTCTGTGTACAGAGGTCCATGTGTTTGTAAACAGTGAACTCTGTGCTGTGATTGGCCACAGCCGATCAGCAGTTATAGAGCCTAAATTATTGGCTGCGACCTGCTGACAAACTCACAGCACAGGTCAACAGGGAGCAGGAAGTTTACCGTGACTGACACATCGCTGTGCCACCTGCTAGCAGTAAATGAACTGTTAGCGGGGTGCCAAGTGAATACATATCACAAGAAGCTAAGCCAAGTGCTGTAACTATATCAACCAATTAGAATCCATCATCTTGTACTTTCCTGTTTTCAATAAAGTGATAAATAATTTATTGCATGGGATGCTACACTTTGCTCCGTGCATTTTTTTTTTTTTTTTTATTCTCTAGAAAAGACATGTTCATGTGGACTTTGATCTTTCCGTTTTGTATTCAAGCAGAATTAAACCAATTGATTTAATGGTTTTCCAAAATAGTCACATTCAAGGTGTGTGTCCCCCCCTTCTGAGGAAGACAAACAGAAAAATTAATTTCATGATTGATGTGTGACAAATTGTACCTTCATTATGTGCAATATTATGTTGGTTACTGGACTGTCACACCATTATCGTGTCTTATCTTGAGTTCATGGATATGAATAGCCAAATATGTACAGGAAGTGAAGGACTGACTAGCAGTCAGCTCTTATCTATAATTAACCCTGTGAAGACTGACAGTTTATTAACAGAGTTGCCACCACAGAAGCTTAAAGAAGTCTCCTGCACAAGCCTCCCAACTAGCTAATCTCTTATGAGGCCTGAGACTTTAGCAATCCTCAGCTTTCCCATGGATGTTAATGAACTGCCAACTGTAAATCAATGAGGAGTCACCCTCTGTGAGAAAGTCCAGCTACGCATTATGGCTGAATACAACAACCAATTTGGTTGATGCATTCCAACATTCACTACTGTGTAGGACCAGCTGGGGTATAAGAAGTAAATACAATGTCAGTGCCAAAAAAAAATGTATGCCATACTGTTTGTTATTTGTTAAGAAGTGCAGTGCCTGGTGAAAGAAATGTTCACATATGGAACAGAGAGATTAAAGAATGTTAAGAGATTCTAATAACTGTTCCAATTTGAAAGTGTAACTCCATTTTTGTTAAGAAGAAAAAAAAAATCTCCTCTACATTGCAAGAATTTTAACAAACTTTCTTGCAGATTCCTATCTGTTTCTGCTCTGACGGAACAGCTGTTTGATTATGTCAACATGTAGAAATAGGTGCAACGTTTTTCATTATTAATTAGCTGATGCACTTGCAGTGTTCTAATATGGAAAATTGCAGTGTCATCAACACTTTGGAAGTGAATCGCCCTTTGGGAGTATCTCACCAAAAATGACATTTTTGTTGCTGAGGAAACTTAAAATCTGACTTGTATCTTAGTGCAGACTTCTGGGAAAATCAGTTAGCACAAGCAGGAAATGCCATTTCTGGGGGTGTTTCATATGCCAACTGTATATAGAACGCCTTCAGGATGTTATATTACATTTAATTTTACAGAAAATTACAAGGCTATGAATTGAAAAGGAAATATCTTTTTTAATAACAATAAATACAATATAGCTCCTCCCTTGGCAAACTGATACACTCCCAAGGCTTCAACTATCACCTCTATGCCGACGACACACAAATTTACCTTTCCACCCCTCACCTCACCCCCTCACTCTCCGCCCGCATCGCCCACCTCCTGAACGACATATCAGACTCGATGTCACTCCATTTCCTCAAGTTAAAACCTGTCCAAAACCGAGCTCCTAGTTTTCCCCCACAGTTTGCGCCCCCCCCATCCTCTCCATCACGACTAGCAACGTCACCATCAATCCCACCCCACACGCCAAAGTCCTGGGTGTCACCCTGGACTCAAACCTTTCCTTCCAACCTTATGTCCAATCACTCAAAGTCATGCAGGCTCCACCTCCGCAACATCTCCAAGATACGTACATTCCTCACCCCAGACACTACTAAACAACTCGTTCATTCCCTCATCATCTCATGCCTGGACTACTGCAACTCCCTTCTCACTGACCTACCCAAACAAATGCTATCCCCACTCCAGTCTATCCTGAACTCAGCGGCTAGACTCGTCCACCTTACCAACCGCTCCACATCTGCCACCCCCCTCTGCCAATCCCTCCACTGGCTCCCGATTGCCCAGCGCATCAAATTCAAATTACTAACACTGACATACAAAGCCATTCACAATGCTGCCCCAAACTACCTAACTGACCTGATACCCAAATACTACCCTGCCCGTGCCCTTCGCTCCTCACAGGACCTCCTACTCTCCAGCTCCCTGGTCTCCTCCTCCCACGCCCGACTGCAGGACTTCTCCAGGACTTCCCCATCCTCTGGAACTTCCTACCCCAATCTATCAGACTGTCACCTACCCTCCTCACCTTCAGGCGCACCCTGAAAACCCACCTCTTCAGGGAAGCCTACGCCACCCTCACCTAACAACCGATCTCCTCCATTCCTCCTACCACTCCATCCCCCACAGCCACTTCCTCCTGTACCACTATCCCCTCCCTCCTAGATTGTAAGCTCAAAGAGCAGGGCCCTCGAACCCCTCGTGTATTGTATTGTACTGTATTGTCTCATGTTCTGTCCCCCTCGCTAATGTACAGCGCTGAGCACACCCTTCGGCGCTATATAAATACTGTATAATAATAATAATATAGCTTTTGTCGCAATTATATATGCAATTTTTTTTATTTGCAATATATTTCCCATGAAAGTGGAGTTACCCTTTAATGTTACATTCCGGGCAAACTGCAAAATATATAGTTTAACCTGTTCCCACCCAGCCAACAGCAAAATGACGGCCAAGCAGGACTTATAGGTCATATGACGTCTTTCCCAGATCTTGCCCACGCTGTGGCAAGATCTGTCACCGGCTGTGTGCACAGCCGATGATAGATCTGTTTACCGGCCCATACCATGTGACTTGCTGTGACCATTCACAGCAGATCACATGACAATTGCTAATCACAGCCCATCTGTCTCATGTGATTCACTTTGACCAATCACAGCTAATCACAACAAAAAAACTTGAATGAATCAATTTCAGTCAGTTAAATGCTTGCTTATAGCAAAGAAATTATTTGCTGGAAGTAATCATAATGTGTAAAAAAAAAATACTGATCACTTCCCCAAAGTAGCTTAAAGCTACTATGATAACATTATTCTACTCTGGTCACAGTGTTATGAAAAAAAAGAAACAGAAAGCAATAAAAAAAAAAAAAATTATGCTGATTGACAGCAGCAGAAGACATTGGCTCCTGCTGCTTTCAATTACAGCCAGTGAAGAGGGAGTGGGGGGGGGAGCCCCGCTCTGTGTGTCTAATGGACATACAGAGCGGGGCTTTGGAGCGCACGTGCACGAGTGTCCCTAGAGCAAGTAGCTGGCTATGGGGGCACTCGGAGAAGAGGAGGAGCCAGAAGCACTGGCAGGAAACCTGAGAAGAGGAGGATTGGGGCTGTTTTGTGCAAACCCATTGCACAGAGCAGGTAAGTACAATATGTGTGGTTTACAAAAAAAAGTACCTCCAATATCACTTTAATATTTTACTTGGTAAAGGATTTGTTTTTCTGCCCATCTAGTTCTGAATTTTACACAGCTCTGCCACACAATACAGCCCTGTTGGATAGAGGAGAAAAACTAAATTTTCTCTGTGAAACATGGTTTTTGCCCCTCCTCAGTCTGTGACTGAACAGTGAAAAAAGAAGCAGCAGACTGATAAGCTCATCTCTCCGCTATGTAATTCTATTGACATATTCCTCAATAGCACATGCAGCACAAATGACGAGATTCTTTTGCTCCATCTCCCTCTTCCAGTCAGAACTCTGCTGTACAAGGACTATAAGAGGCTAATATCAAGTCAAATTCAGGTAGTTACACGGTTTGCATTTTGAGAAAAAAAATTTAATGATGTATTCATAAAGACAGAGCTGCCTAGAGATCAACTTTAAATATAGAAGGGAATAAACTGTGCTTGCAGGACTGTACAACGTGAAAAATATAATTGTGGCTAAATAGTTTAAAAGAGGTTACTGTTAGTAGGAAAACACAGTGTACTGACCAGCAGAACATCAGAACAAATATCAGAATTACAGGCTCACAATGGTCAATCTTTCTCAAGGCGCTGTAATCTAATAGCATTCAAAAGAAGGATTAATGATGTGAATGTACTGAAGGCCATGCTTCAAAATGAAATACTATAATTACACAAGAGATTTATAATTATACACAGCATGTTCAAGCAAGAAACCGGTTCTTTTCAACACCTGAAGCCTCACCCAGCTCTCTACCATCTAATTACATCTATTTATTGAAATGCAGCCTATATAGTACTTCTCACTGAGACATCCTTATAAAGACAATACACAAATTGTATCAGTCCTTCCAAAACAGCCCAGAGTTGCTCTCACTATTTGTGACTTGGGATGAGAGATTAGCTCATCATTTCTGGGAATAATATATTGTGAAAGGTAACAGTGAAAAGTGCATATCAGTGTACATTCAACTCTTACCTTGTCCCAGTAACAGGTCAGATCTTGAATTTGTACCAGCTGGTCTTCTTCTTTTTCCTCTGGCTGGTATACAGCGGGTTTTGAAATCTCATCAAGCAACAAAAAGTTCTAAAAGTGAATGAACCAATAAAATTAGGGACCCACAGTAAATTATCCTATTTTAATAAAGTAGAGGAACACAAAAAATTGGCATTACGGATACTTCCTGGCTATTATGCTGACACTGTGATTTAATTTCTTTAAAGTGGTTGTAAACTTCAGATATGAAATATGAACAAAGCATATTCCTTGATACTGTATACTTCTCTATCCAGAACATTAAAGGGGCATATTCACTAAAGCTGTAGAGCCCCTTACCACGTGCAACTGAGAAACCTGGGTGACACAGTTTACAACCCTGACAGCCAGTTCCCACATATTTACACAAATACAGTATACACTTGCTTATACCGAGTTGGACCCCCTTTTGCCTTCAGAACTGTCTTAATTCTTCATGGCATAGATTCAACAAGGTGCTAGAAACATTCCTCAGAGATTTTGGTCCATATTGACATGGGTTACTGTTGCCTCATTTTCCCATTCTCCTCTGACATCAACCAGGCATTTTTGTCCACACAACTGCCGCTCACTGGGTATTTTTCTATTTTTTGGACTATTCTCTGTAAACCCTAGAGATAGTTGTGCATGTAGATCAGCAGTTTTTGAAATACCCACACCAGCCTGTCTGGCACCGGAAAGCTTGCCATGTTCAAAGTCACTTAAATCCCCTTTCCTCCCCATTCTGATGCTTGGTTTGAACTTCAGCAAGTCATCTTCACCACGTCTACATGCCTAAATGCATGGAGTTGCTGCCGTGTGATTGGCTGATTAGCAATTTGTGTTACCAAGCAATTGGACAGGTGTACCTAATACAGTGGCCGGTGAGTGTATATTTTTAGTTTTCTGCTGATGTCTCCAGACAGTAAATCATTGCTTAATTTCCAATTCTTTTTTGTTCCAATGTGACTAGGGCTGTTAAACTGTCTGGTAATAAAATCTAGAATAGATAACAAAAAAATGGTAACTTCAGGTCTCAAATTTTTTAAATCGTTTTTTTTTCCAATGTACCTTGATCTTTCAACTACCACTCTGATAAACTGGCTTGCAGCAAAGATACTTTCTAGAGCCTGCACACCCTTGAACATCTTACAAGAGCACTCTAAGGCACTATGGGGGGCATTCAATAAAGCATTTACAACACTTTGTGATAAGGTCCCTTTCAAACAACCTGCAGATTAGGAAATCGGTGGTAATTTAGACTGAGTAGGCATACAGAGAGTATGTGCTGAGAATTTGTCATGAATGTGACAACTTCCTGCACAGGTCCCGGGGTCACAACCAGTGACTCATCCCTTCCCCAAAAAAGGGCGGCAATGATGGCTGATGTCAATACCCAAATACAGCAATAGCCGTTGGGCAGCACAGTGGCTAAATGGTGGGCAGAGCCTGATGAGGAACTCTGAAAGACTGGCTCTCCATCAAGTCCATCTGCCTTGTGATTTACAGCGGACAAATTCTATGGCTGCTATTTATTCCAATAGCGGCTATAAAATCTGCCCATTACTTCTATCGAAAATAAACCCTATATTGTTCAATGCTTTAAATTATTTTTTTAGAAATGTTTAACCCACATATTTCGATGCCCCCCCCCCCTAAAAAGGTTAGTTTGGGACAGGCTCTCATAAATTATATTATATATCACTTTGGAACATAAAATGGATCAGTTAATTATTATATAATCTGAACCTTGAAGTCACTAGATTCTTTTTTCTGTCTACATCTTATCTTTTTTGTTTTATTCTTAGTGACTTTCTGAATATCTGATATACTAATAGCAGTATTCGTACTGTATAGTACATTTTATTTATATATATATTGTATAGTATATTTTTGCCCATGGGCCACGTAAAGTGTAACTAACTAAAGGCAAAAATTTTTTTCATCTTGTATGGAGTAATGGGAGGGTTTTAACTCCTGTCAGTATTTTTTTTTTTTTTTTGCATCTGTGTCCCATTGGGGAGATTTCCCTTCACTTCTAGTCCCATAGCCAAAACAGTAAGTGAGAAGAAATCCCTGCAAAGTAAGGGAATCCCAATGTGCCACCAGAGTCATCAGAACTAGTTGGAAGATTTCCCCTCTATTCCTTTTGTGGAGACAACTCAACATTTGGATTTTCTTTTATTTTCACTTTCAACGATAACAGTAAACAGGGCAAATAGAGAGGGTGAATATCCCCAATGGGGCACAGACAACAATAAAGGCTGGTTCACAACATGGTGCAAAGACAACAGTTTTTCTGCATGCGTTCTGCACAACAAAATCAATTGTTCTCTATGTGCCTTGTTCACACCACCACAACACTGTGCAGGTATCTGCAACGTGTAAAAAAACTAATTGGAGCGCGCATGAAAACTGATGTAAACTGATGCCTCTGCAAATTAAATCTGCGCGTCAATTTCCATCAGTTTTTCTGCATGTATCGCGTAAACAAGGCCTAAAATTGGCAGGTGCTTTATTCCCTCTCCACTCTATCCAAAACTAAAAAAATGTTTTGTCTTTATTACACTTTAACAACTTACAATAATTTTTCTCATGCAGCAGTTCAGATGCAAGATCCTTTTCATCTATGTCTGGACAGCTTACTATGGTTCCAGATATAGTGGTATGATTTTATCATGTATGCATTCAAATAAATGAAACAGAGTACCTTTTAAAATACTTTTGTCTTTAGCTAGTACCTCCTGAAATCAGTCATCTTATAGCTAGTACCCATTAAGTGTGTACTGCTGATAATAAAAATGTGTATAAATATGTTACAATAAATTAAAATATTTATTTATTTTTGCCAGTGTTACAATTGGATTGTTATCTGCGAAAATTTAAAAAACAGTAACTGAAGTGTACTGGGGTACACAAAATACTGGCAAGGAATCTCTACCACTAATGTACATGTCCACTGAAGTCACATCAGTTATTGGAAAGCATACAGTAAATCCCATATGGATCCTCAGTCTTACAGCAGTGAGTTTCCACAGTTTTCTAAACATTAGTAGTGGAATTGATCATAAACAGTTTGGAAAAACGTACAGCACGTGTGCGAGTGAAAATGTTACCCCAGAATTGTTAACGATTGATAATATGTCTACGTGTGGAAAACAATTCGATACAATGACAGATCTTTATAAAAAAAACGAACGTTTTTCTATCCATGTATGGCCAGTATTACAGTGTGTTTTCTTTCTAAAGCAGCCACAGCCTGAGTGGAAAAGCCTTTTAGATACCCAGGCCTTTTATCAGAGAATAGGTTGAGGAACTCAACTACCCCCCCTTCCCCAATCAAAGGGGGAAGAGCGCACCGTATCAATGGTGGGTGTGGCAAACTGCATTAACAATGAAATGGTCTTAAAGGAGCATTTGCTAAATACTATTAGTGTGCTTACATATGAGTGCAGAGTTCAGGAATGCATTACTTACAGTGCAGGTTTCAGGAGTATGTTATGTACAGAGTTCAGGAATGCGCTACATACAGAGTACAGAAGTGCGCTATGTGCAGAGTGCAGAGTTCAGGGGTGCACTATGTACAGAGTACAGAGTTCAAGATTGCACTACATACAGAGTGCAAGGTTCAGAAGCACACTACCTACAAAAAAAATGCAGGGTTCAGGAGTGTGCTGTGTACAGAGTGCAGGGTTCAGGAGCAGGCTAAGTACGGACTGTAGAGTTCAAGAGTGCACTATATGCTGAGTGCAGAGTTCAGAAGTGAGCTATGTAGCAGGGTTCAGGAGTGCACTGTGTACAGATTGCAGGATTTAGGAGTGTGCTATATACAGAGTGTAGAGTTCAAGAGTGAACTACATACAGAGTGCAGGGTACAAAGTGCAGAGTTCAAAAGTGCACTAGGTACAGACTGCAGGATACAAAGTGCAGAGTTCAGAAGTGCACTACATACAGAGTTTAGAAGCGCGCTACGTATAGATTGCAGAGTTCAAAAGTGCGCTACGTACAGAATGCAGGGTTCAGGAGTGCACTACGTACAGAGTGCAGGGTTCAGGAATGCACTACGTACAGAGTGCAGGGTTCAGGAGTGCACTACGTACAGAGTGCAGGGTTCAGGAGTGCACTACGTACAGAGTGCAGGGTTCAGGAGTGCACTACGTACAGAGTGCAGGGTTCAGGAGTGCACTACGTACAGAGTGCAGGGTTCAGGAGTGCACTACGTACAGAGTGCAGGGTTCAGGAGCACTACGTACAGAGTGCAGGGTTCAGGAGTGCACTACGTACAGAGTGCAGGGTTCAGGAGTGCACTACGTACAGAGTGCAGGGTTCAGGAGTGCACTACGTACAGAGTGCAGGGTTCAGGAGTGCACTACGTACAGAGTGCAGGGTTCAGGAGTGCACTACGTACAGAGTGCAGGGTTCAGGAGTGCACTACGTACAGAGTGCAGGGTTCAGGAGTGCACTACGTACAGAGTGCAGGGTTCAGGAGTGCACTACGTACAGAGTGCAGGGTTCAGGAGTGCACTACGTACAGAGTGCAGGGTTCAGGAGTGCACTACGTACAGAGTGCAGGGTTCAGCAGTGCACTACGTACAGAGTGCAGGGTTCAGCAGTGCACTACGTACAGAGTGCAGGGTTCAGCAGTGCACTACGTACAGAGTGCAGGGTTCAGCAGTGCACTACGTACAGAGTGCAGTACAGAGTGCAGGGTTCAGCAGTGCACTACATATTGAGTGCAGGGATCAGAAGTGAGAGAGGCATCTCCTAGATTGTAAGCTCCAAGGAGCAGGGCCCTCCTATCCCTCTTGTATTGAACTGTATTGTTGATGTATTGTCTCCCGTTATATTGTAAAGCGCTGAGCAAACTGTTGGCGCTATATAAATCCTGTATTATAATAATAATAATGCAGACAGTATGACGTTACTATTGTAACTATGGTACTGTGCTATTATTTTAGACAACAAACAGAATAGATTCATGAATGACAGAAGTTGCCAAACAAATCTGATTTCTTTTTATGAGGAGGCAATCAAAAACCTTAGACAAAGGAGTGGCTGTGGACGTGGTATAC